CCCCCTGGGTCCCTGCCCCCTCAACTCCAGCCTCCTTGGCAGTCCGGCAGTCCGCCCCGTCCTACCTTCCATCCCACACTCAGCCTGCGGTGGGGGGCGGAGGGGCCTGGGTCCTCATCTAACCTCTTATTCGGTCGTAAGGAGTGAGCTCCATGTCTGGTGTTTCTGGCTCCCATCGGGTTCTTCCCTTTCGCTTCATAATCAAACCTGGTTCTTGTTTTGCCTTTCAAAACTCTGTCTGATGAGGGCCTGGTTTGGAAGTCAAAGACGGGCCCTGGATGGTTTTCCTCTTTGCCTTCCAGCTCCCAATGGCCCGAGTTCACCTTCATGCAATGTGGGTACCCTGGATTGACTAAGATTCCATATAAGGCAGTGCAGAAAAGTGAGCCATGAAAACTAACATCTCGATGTAGGGTTTTGCTTCCCTAACAGTTGAGTGCTTGCGAGGAAGCAGGCGCTGAGCTAAGTGCTTTACATGCATTATCTATTTAATCTTCCCAAGAGCTTGCTCTGCGGAGTGCCATTATCTGCATTTCACACGGGAGGACAGTGAGGCTCAGAGACATGAAATCACTTGCCTGTTGTCACACAGCTGGAGAATTGGCAAGGGCTGGGCCACGCAGAAACGCACAGGAATTTAGGTTTTAATTTAGCTTGTATTTAGAAGCTTTACGTTGAGGGGTGCTGTGGCCTGGATGCAGGGGAAAGGGCATTCTAGGCAGGGAAGACAGCCTGTGCAAAGGCCCACGCAGGATCAGCAAGGCTGGATGGAGGACGTGAGAAAGGGAAGGGTGGGAGAGGATGCTAGGGAAGCTGGCAGAGAAAAAAAGGCAGCCAGCCAGAGTTATGGAGCACAGGAGAGAAAACTATATCATGGAGGCAGCAAGAAGTAGCTTATAGGACTTGCCTCTTAGCTCACACTTGGATGTGCTCTGTAACTCAAGTGAAGCTATTTAAGAATGGGATATCCTGGGACTTCCCTGGTGATCCAGTGGTTAAGAATCCACCTTCCGGGACGTCCCTGGTGGCTCAGTGGTTGACTCCATGCTCCCAATGCTGGGGGCTGGGGTTCAGTCCCTGGTCAGGGAACTAGATCCCACGTGCATGCCGCAACTAAGAGTTTGCATGCCACAACTAAGGAGCCTGTGAGCCACAACTAAGGAGCCCACCTGCCACAACTAAGACGCAGCACAACCAAATAAATAAATAAATATTAAAAAAGAAAAAATAAAGAGTCTGCCTTCTAATGCAGGGGACGTGGGTTCGATCCCTGGTCGAGGAACTAAGATTCCCACATGCCGCGGGCAACTAAGCCTGTGTGCCGCAACTACTGAGCCCACACCGCACCACAACTAGACAGTCTGTGTGCTGCAACTAGAGAAGCTCACGTGCCACAACAAAGAGCCTGTGCTCCGCAATGAAGACCCAGTGCAGCAAAAAAAAAAAAGAGAGACAGAGAGAATGGGATATTCCTTATCCCTTTGGGTCAGGGTTGGCTGGAGAAGGATCCAGGGCTGTGTGAGTCCAGAGGGAGGAACAGCTCTGCTTTGGGGTCAGGAATGGCTTTCTGGAGGAGGGGTCATTTGAGGTGGGTTTTGAGGGATAGATAGGAGTTTCCCAGGCATATTCATTTAACAAACCCTTCCTAATTCCCCATTTCTGACTAGTCTTGTGTTAGCTCTGGGGAGCCACGGAAACAGAATGAACACAGATGAGTATAAAATGAGGCCTAAAGTGCTCAGAGCCATCAACAGAGAACAAGCTTTAGGAGTAGGGAATTGGGTGTGTCTGTGTTCTTTCTGCATCACACAGGAAATTCAAGCCCCCGGAGTGTCTGAGAAGGGTGAACATACTTTCAGCTTCTGATCTCTGCTCAGTCTATAGGGGAGCAGACAGTACTCCAGACACAGCTGCCTTCAGAGGGTGGGATGTTCCTGGGTCATGGGACAAACATTCAAGGGTACACTTTAGATAGCACCCTCAGGGTGGGTCTGCCAGAGGAGAGGTCTGAAAGATGAGAAGGTGCCAGCCATGAAAGGATCTGGGGGGAGAGCAGTGCGGGCAGAGGAAACAGCACATGCAAAGACCTGGAGGTGGAGTAGCAAGGAAGCCAGGGTGGCTGGAGTGAGGGGCCAGGGTGTGTGAGGACCCTTCGGGCCACTGGATTTTTTTCTGAGTGTCATAGGGAGCATGAGATCCGCCCCCCTTTACGAAGACCGTGAGCTGCTCCAGAAGTCCTGCCAGGGCCACACTGGGTGGTGGAAGGTGCCTTTGATGAAGGGAGAAAGTGATAGAGTCAGGGCTGGGTTCTGCCTGGGTCACCAGACGCCCTGCCCTCACCCTTCTCAGGGCTGGGGGTCAGTGGAGTGGGAGGAGGGCTTTGGTCACTGTCTGGCCATTGTGCAATAAGCAGGCTTGTGGCTTCCTCTGACTCATCACCAGGGTTTAGGATGGATCGAGATGCTGCTGGGGTGCGGGGTAAACGGGGGTGAGTAGGGCGAGCACTGGCCCCTCACCTCTGCCCTGTGGGCACGGCCTCTTGCTGTGGCCCCTGCTCCCCCTGAAATCTTCTCTCCTCCATCTTTCTGTGCAGAAACCGGCTTAGTGCAGCCTTATGTAAGTGATCTGGGTAACCAGCATTTTTTGAGCACTTATTATGAGCCAGGCACTTGACATATATTAACCTCATTTAAACTTGACAAAACCTGGTGTAGAGAAGGAAGCCGACCTCTGCTGTCAGGCCCGAGTTCCAGTCCTGGCTCTGGCGCTTAACTTGTTACGGGCAGCTGCCGTCCCTGCTGTCTGTCACTATTTCCTCTCCAATCTCAGGATGGTGGCAGGGACTAAAAGTCACATAAATAGAATGTCCAGTCCCTTACCTGACTCCCAGAAGCTTCAGTCTCCATGCCAGGGAGAGAAGATGGACTTCAAATCGACTTCAGCAAAAAAGAGCATGAATTATTGGCTCATATAACTGAAAAGGCAGGAGTGTCTAGCTTCAGGTATGGCTGGATGCAAGAATTCTGAGAGTGTCTTTGCCTACATTTGGTTCTGTTTTCCTTTGTGTGGGTTTACTCTCAGGCCACCTTTCTCTCTCTTTTTTTTTTTTTGTCCACGCGTACTGTGCGACTTCTAGGACAGTTCCCTAACCAGGGATTGAACCCAGGCCACGGCAGTGAAAGCACAGAATCCTAACCACTAGACCACCAGGGAATTCCCCAGGCCACCTCTCTTCAAGTGGTGACCTCTGGCTCTGCAAACCTGTGTTATCCTTCAAATCAGCCACCCAAGCAAAGAGGGTGCTTCTCTTTCCCATGCTTCAAACAAAAATTCCAGACTTGCATCTCATTGGGCAAACTGGGTCACATGCCTGCCCTGACCCAATCGTGCTGGTCAGAGCAATGGCTCTGCTGACTGGCCAAGGCTTCCAATTTGAAGGGGAGACTGTGGGGAGAGCAAGTGGTGAGACCAGCTCTACCACAAACCAGGGACTGAAAGTTGGAAAGGGTTCCCTGAAGGGTAGTTGGTTGTTGACATCCCAGATAGGTGGCAGATACTTGCTAGGCAAAAAGGCTAGAAGTCCAATAAAGTGCTCAAAACCATATGAACAAGAAGGACAAAATAGAGCAGTGGCAGTGCCCAGGACACTCCAAATTAAAATCTATGTATGTGTATGTATTTAATGTGGACTTTTCATTAAACTGTTGTAAAATGTAAATAAAAGCACGTTTGGAAAATGTTGGTTTCCCCCTATGATCTCCATCAGTGTCCCCTCCAGCCATCCCTCACCCTGGTAAAAAAAGTGTGCTTGTTGTGCAATTAGAGATGCCCCCAATTCCCCTGGCTGCCCCTCCTGGCTTCTGCCCCACCCATGCTCCGAAATCCCTGGAGCCTCCTGAATACAAACTTGTGACATTGGTGGTTAGGGTCCCTCTGTCTGGGGAGAGACAACTAGGTGTCAGAATCCCTCTTGCCTCTCTAGGTCACCTGCCCCCCCCCCACCTCATCATTGGGGAGACTCTGCTGTCCCTTTCACTGCTGGGTCTGGGTGGGATTTCTGGACCTGTCCTTTAGCACCCCATGGCAAAGCTGGCTTCCTTGAGCAAAATTGGACTGGAGAAATTCACAGAGAGGAGGCTGAAGCTATGTAGCTCCAGTTCTCCGAGCTTAAGGATCCAGAAAATAGGAACTGGATAGGAGATAGGAACAGGGAAAGAAAGGTGTTAAGGACGACATTGGGATTTTGGGCTGGGGACTGATCACACCCCCAAAACCATGTTGGCCATAGGAGCCTTCCTTCCTAACATCACTCTCCTCCTGGCCCATCACTGGTTTTATTTTCCACATCACATTTCTCTCCATCTGAAAAGTTCTCGGGTCATTTGTTGGTGGGTTATGTTCCAACCCCCCGCCCCGACTGTGCATCCCATGAGGGCAGGGACCACGTCTGCTTGCTCACGCCGTTCCCCCAGTACGCTTGGCACACATAGGCGCTCCATAAATGAATGAATGCATGCATGGATGAGCAACGCCCTGAACTGGTCTCTGAGCTGAACTGGTCCGAGCCCAGGCTCAGCCTCGAGCGCTACCTGTCCTTGGGATGGGTGCTGGCTCCATCTTGGTGACCTGGAAGGGTTTGCGTCCAGGAGTCTCTCTCTTGGGAGCTCCAGCGGCCCAGCCTGTCCCTTGCCCAACAGCCAGACGGCCGCTGTCCAGCGGGCCAGGAGGCAGCTCACTGCGACTGCGCCGAAAACTCCACCCTCCCTCTCCCGCCTCCCCTTCTGGCCTCTAAGCGCGCCGCCGAGGCGCGCGCATGCGCCATCGCCCCCGCGCCGCGCGCCACTCCTGTGCGCATGTGCCGCTCTCACTACAGCCGGCGCGCCTGCGCACTGCCCGCCGCCCGCGGGTCCGGCCGGCGCTTGCGTGGTGGCACCGGCGAGTGGGGGGGGCGAGGAGGTGGTGGAGGAGGAGGAGGAGGAGGAGGAGGAGGCGGCGAGAAGATGGCGACTTCGAACAATCCGCGGAAATTCAGCGAGAAGATCGCCCTGCACAACCAGAAGCAAGCGGAGGAGACGGCGGCTTTCGAGGAGGTCATGAAGGACCTGAGCCTGACGCGGGCCGCGCGGGTAAGGGGGCTGCCCGCGCCGACCCCTCTGGGCCGGAGAGGGAGGCAGGGGGCGCGTGTCTGGCGCGTGCACGGGGTGGGGGGCGCGCGGCGGGGGCGGGGCGCGCGCGGCGGGGGCGGGACTTGGCTCGGCCCGTGGGGACAGGTGTCCCCACGCCCCGGGCGTCGTGGGCGGGACAGGTGCCCCCACATCATCGATACCTGAAGGGGTGAAGGTGTCCCTGCATCATTGCTACCTGAAGTGGGGGACAGGTGTCTTTACATCATTGTTACCTGTAGGGGCAGGGGTCTCTACATCGTTACTACATGGAGGGAACAGGTGCCATTACATCATTGGTACCTGAGGGGGGAAAGGTGTCCCCACACTGCTACCTGAGGGGGATAGGTGCCTTTATATCACTGCTACCTAGGGCAGTGATACTGAGGTGTGTGAACTGGGTGCTGCTTGCAAGCATCACTGTTACCTGGGGAGGGGGATAGGTGCTCCTATATCATTGGCACCTGAGGGGGACAGCTGCCCCCACACCATTGCTACCTGAAGGGACAGGTGTCTCTCCATCATTGTCACCTGTGCACTCACTGCCTGAGTGTTGGGGGAAGGACAGGTACCCCCACTTGCAGAGCTGAGATGGGATAGGTATCTCCCTTTTGGATACCTGAGGGAAAGGTCTGGCCTCCGCTGTGGGGACCTGGGCGGGATCAGGAAGGCAGATTGGGCTGTCTTGGAGCTTGGAGTGCAGACAGCTGCCCCTTCCCCATGCAGCCCATATGGTGGGGACCAGGTGATGTTCCTCCCACTAGGACAAGGTACAGCTGGCCACAGATGGCCCCTGGCCCCTCAGGACCAGGATGGAGGGACAGTTCTTCAGATGGCTGGGTGCTTTTGGTGTGCAGGAGCAGGCCCGGTTACCTGCTAACCTCATCTGGGAAGCCGCTGTAGGCCTGGAGCAGGGGCTTGGCTGTGGCTGGGGTTGGGGGTCCTGGCCCTTCTTCTGGGCCCCAGCTCTCTGGCGACCACCGTGAGGTGCCAAGCTCCTTGGGTCTCGGTATCCTCCCTTGTCGAGTGTGTCTAGCAAGCCCTTCCTCGTGGGTCAGGGAGGGGAGCATGCTTTGCACAGGTGGCAGTAAATCTCTGCTTCGATCCTGCAGAGCGATGGGACCCCTGTGCTGTACCCTGGGGCCTTGGGGAGGGGTTGAGTGGGAGCTGCAGACACCCACCCCGCTGGTTTCTGGATTTGGCGTCCGATCTGACTGGCCTAGGCAGACCTACCTCCATGCCGTGAGCCTCAGTTTCTGATTCCTCAGGTGGGCTTTTGGGGTGACGTTACTTTTTAATTAGTTGCTTGTTTCTCTTTGAGATCATGACCTTAAGACTAGAATGTGTGTCTTCATTTCCGTGCATTTGTTCAGCTATATCAGTCGGGTGCTCGCTGTCGGCCAGGTGCTGCTTGTCCCTGCTCCAGCCGCTTGCGGCCTCGCTCAGGATGTGGTTGGTGAATGAATGAATGAATGAAAGCACGCAGCTTGAGTGTTGCCCATACGTCAGGGCTTCTGAGTGCAGGAGTGTCCACTTCATCTTGTCTCCAGCATGTAGTGTGTGCTAGCATGCAGTAGGTGTCAAATGTATGTGGTGTGACAAGAAGAAGGGGTCACACTGGTTCTTGACAGTTCTTCATGACCCAAGGCCTGGTTTCTGCTTTAGGGTTGGAAATGAATTATTGGTGTTTTTTTGTCTGTTTGTTTTTGAATTGTTGTTGAAAAGATATCTTTAAAATAACAACTTTATTGAGATAGTACCATATAATTCACTTGTTTAAAGTGTACAATTCAGTGGTTTTTAGTACATTTACAGAGTTGTGCAACCATCACCACTGTCTAATTCCAGAATGTTTTCATCATTCCTCAGAGAAACTCCACACCCATTAGCAATCACTTCTCATTTGCCCCTCCCCCCAGCCCCTGGCAGCCACCAAGTTTTCTGTCTTTATGGATTTACCTGTTCTGGACATGTCATATAAATGGAATCATACAAGATGTGGCCTTTTGTGTCTGTCTTCTTTCGCTCAGCCTAATGTTTTCAAGGTTCATCTACATTGTAGTGTGTATCAGGAAGCTTCTTTCCTTTTTATGGCTGAGTAGTATTCCTTTGTATGGCCGGACCACATTTGTTTATCCATTCATTGGTTGATGGATGTAGAAAAGATTTTTAAGATTCGCAGACAGCAGTTCTCTCGGCCCCTGGTAACCGTTTCCCATCTCTTTCCTCCCTCGCCCTGTTGCCTTCCTTTACTTCGGGAGTTGGGGAGGTAGGGTGGGCTTGGGCCCTGGGCGGAGGTGCACTTACACTAGATTTTTACAGACAGAGCAGTGTTCTCTATTGGGGGTGATTCTGTCCTCAGGGGACATTTGGCAATGACATTTTTGGTTGTCTCGACTAGGGGAAGGGCTGCTACTGGCATCTAGTGAGTAGAGAGCAGGGATGCACCCCACGATGCATAGACGGCTCCCACCATAGACAGTGATCCGGCCCCAGGTGTCAGCAGTGTCAAGGCTGAGATACCTTCAGTTTGAAGGAAACGCTGTGTGGGCAGGGGTGCGAGCTTTGCACCCGGGCAGATAGTTCAAAACTCCACACCCACCAATACGGCTGTGCCACTGTGGGCAGGCTGGTGGCTTTGCCTGCACCTGAGACCAGGATGGGCAAGCTCTTTCCCAGCCTTTTCCGGCTATTGCACATGGCACGTGGTACATCAGCAGTGTCTGGTGCAGGCGAGTGAACCCGCCTGATGCAGGGTCCCCTCCTGCTCACCCTCCCATGGCTGCAGCCTTCTGCGCTGCCTCCGCCTGCGGTAGACACAAGCGTTTCACCTGAGAACAGGTGGGACGTGGCCAAGTTGGTACCTGCTCTTCTCAGGGGAATTCCACAGGTCAGCACGCCCACTCCCGGAACGAGCGGGGACACTCGTGTCGATGTGTGTCTGTGCACAGCCCTTGGTCGTGATGGGTGCACCCGCAGTGCCTTCCCTTGTGAAAGGCCGGTCAGCAGGTGTTGAGCCTGATGAGTAGATCCATGCTGTCACTTCACCCAGGGGCAGGTACCCCAAGGGCTAGTTCGGGTGGCGGATGGGGTGTGACGTCCACTTTTGTGTCGCAGTGTAGAGAGGTGAGTGCACGAATGCTCCTTTCTCGTCCTCAGACTTGGGCAGCCTGATGTGCAGAGAGGGCTGTGGTGCTCAGCTGTGTGACTTCGGGCAGGTTTCTTAACCTCTCTGGGTCTCAGAATCCTGATCTGTGAGCAAGGGTAGCTTGCTTATTCCACAAAATGACATTTTTATTTGCCCAGCACGTCCCAGGGACTGTATTAGGTACTGGGGAGCCAGCAGCATATGAGGCATGTGAGGACCACGCTCTTGGGGAGCCGGCATGGTTTTAGTGGAGACAGGAGAGAATTGCTACAGATAAATGAGGCCGATGCTCTCAAAGAGAAGAAGCAAAGCAATGTGCTAGGACTGGCTAGGGCGGGAGGCTGGCACCTGGACAGTGAGACAGAGGCCCCCGCGCCCCCCACCCCCACCCCATGCTGGGGAAGGGTGTCCCTTGTGAGGGAGGCAGGCGCAGAGGCCCCGAGGTGGGAAGGGCTTGGCGAGGTTGAGGCTGGCATATTGAGGGAGAGAGAGGAGAGATGCGGCTGGCCCCTGAGGGAGGGGCCCTGGGAGGGTTTGTGATGGTCAGTGGCCTGATCCTTTGCTTGTTTTTATAGTAGCTTTATTAAGATATCATTCCCAATACATTCAAACCACTCATTTAAAGTGTACTGGGACTTGCCTGGTGGCACAGTGGTTAAGAATCCGCCTGCCAATGTAGGGGACAGCCCTGGCCCCAGGAAGATCCCACGTGCCGCGGAGCAACTAAGCCTGTGCGTCGCAACTACTGAGCACGCACTCCAGAGCCCGCGAACCACAACTACTGAGCCCACGCGCCACAACTACTGAGCCCACACACCGCAACTAGTGAAGCCCGTGTGCCTAGAGCCAGTGCTCCGCACCAAGAGAAGCCAGCGCACCTCAATGAAGCGTAGCCCCCACTCACCCCAACTAGAGAGAAAGCCTGCATGCAGCAACGAAGACCCAATGCAGCCAAAAAAAAAAAAAAAAAGAAAAGCGTACCATCTAGGGGACTTCCCTGGTGGTCCAGTGGTTAAGACTCCGAGTTTCCACTGCAGGGGTCACAGGTTCAATCCCTGGTCGGGGAACTAAGATCCCTCAAGCCGCGCGGCACGGCCAGAAAAATAAATAAAGTGTACCATCCAGTGGTTTTTAGCATATTCACACAGTTGTGAAACCATCACCAATTTTAGAACATTTCCATCACCCCAGAAGGAAACCCCGTCCCCTTAGCAGTCACTCCCCATTCCCCCTCCCACACTCCTGGCAACCACTCATCTACTTTCTGTCTCTGTGGATTTGCCTGTTCTGGACATTTCATATAAATGGAATCATATAACACGTAGCTTTTTATGTCTGACTTTTTTCGCTCAGCGTGATGTTTCCGAGGTTCATGCATATTGTAGGGTGTATCAGTTCTTCCTTTCTTTATTAAGAATTGTGGTAAAATATACAAAACATACAGTTTACCACCTTTTTTTTTTTTAACATTTATGTATTTATTTTATTTATTTTGGCTGTGCCGGGTCCTAGATGAGGCACTCAGGATCTTCGTTGCGACATGTGGGATCTTTAGTTGCAGCGTGCGGACTTCTTAGTTGCGGCATGCGGGATCTAGTTCCCTGACCAGGGATCAAACCCAGGACCCCTGCATTGGGAGCTCAGAGTCTTACCCACTGGACCACCAGGGAAGTCCCTAATTTACCATCTTAACCATTGATAAGTGTACAGATCAGTGGTATTAAGTACGTTTACAGTGTCGTGTAGCCACCGCTGTCCATTACTTCATGACTCTTTAAGGCTGAATAATACTCCATGGTGTGGATACACTGCATTT